TCTTTAGTAATCATTTTATGTGTTTGTAGTTAACATGTTATGTGCCTTCAATTTATTTACAGAATTACATGTTCTAATTGAGTCGTTGCTACAGATACAAAATATGACAACTATAAAGTATAAATACATAATTTGAAAGTTATTTTGGATTAAGATCCACAATACAATAATGTAGTCTTGATCCATGGCATAATTTTCTGTTGGGTTATCCAATCTTCATATCCAAGGGTCCGTCAGATTTAGTCTGAACTGATTCTGCATGGCTGTATCAATAGAGGCCAATAATTAGGTTTCATTTTAGTTAGCAAGTTCACACTAATTTCGATTCCGGGAATTTTAATTTGTAGTTTTTGATTCGGTTTATTTCAAATAATAAAGTTTTTTTTTTTATAAGAATAAAGTTTGGTTTTATTTTGTAAGCGGATAAGAATTTTTTTAATTCTTACATATAACATCCAATATTTTAGTTTAGAGCTTTCTTTAACACAATATATTCTTTACAAGAGTTGAACTATAATTTATAAATTCACTAACTATCCTGAACTGCTGTATTAACAAACAATAAAAATTGATTTCAATTAATATTGATTCAACTAACAATTTTGAATTTGAAGCAGGAACCTAGATAAATCTTATCTGAGTTTTTTGCTTTCTACGGGAAGAAAGAAACACAGGTTAATGGCCATAATTGTTGGAATTATGGAAATATGGTTAAATTTTATATTTTCTAACCATCTGTGGTAAAAAGAATTAGGAAAACATGTCCAACATTTAAATGTTCAAAATTTTTGACCACTTTTGTTGACAGTCAATATTACAAATCACTTTAATTGGTAGTCAAAAATAATGACAAACGATTTTTTGAATCTCCAAAATAATTAGAAAGGTCACTTTCCACCAAAAGTCCTCATGGTTCAATTCCAATCATCCTAACACTCTAGAATTGTGATTTTTTTTTTTCTATAATGACCATTTTTTTGCGTCCCGTGTTTTTATTTTTGTGTTTGTATATTACCTATGTATAAATTATTGATAATGGATAATGTCCTTGTCTTTGCCCCTATTGGGGCGGGGATTGGGGATCCCTACCAGAGACGAGAAAATTGACATCCTTAGTTAGATTGTAATCACACACAAAAAGAAGTATAAATTATTATTGATAATATATAACAATAAATGTTGGACTTAATAGTAAATGAAAATAAAATAATAAAAATTAATCACTGCAATAATAAGAAAAAAATTTAAAAATAATTATTTATGAATTTAACCAAATATGGTGAATTACTTATCACTGTGTGTCTGTGTACTGTACGATATAATTTGTCCCTTCCAAGATGTATCATTGTGACAAATGTGAGCACAACGAAGTACTCATGGTCGCTAGTAATGTCTCAGCACAAAATAATAATGTGAAAACGACACCACATAATACGTGCACTTGATAGTTAATTATTATGCGTTGGTTGTTGCCGTCATTTAATCACCTATTAACGTCAGTAATTAATTAGAGTGATTGTGATCATTTATAGCTGGCTTGATAATGTTCTCACACGGAGTTTACTTTACTTCACTGTTTGGAATCTTTTCCAATAATAGGAAAAAGTTACATTTTTCCGTCTATAAGTTATGGAGTAATAGTAAAATTTATCCATATTAGGTGCTCACTTTAAGGTACATAATTTATAACAGACACAAAAACTCATAATACAAGACACATACACATATTATATATTTACTTATTATCAAATTTGATTTGTGTAGATAATATATGTCTCATACGTATATAATTTCATAATACAAGACATAAGTTTGTAAAATAAAACACACAATATTGTTGTGTATTACACAACTACTAATCTATTTCAGGTACAGAATTCATACGTAAGGTACAAAATTGCATAACATGAGACATAGAAACGCATAACACAAGATACATACACATGTTTTATATTTACTTTAGCTCAGATACATAGTCTGAGAGTCAATATTCTTAAAGTACATAATTGCATAATACAAGACACAAAAACGCATAACATAATACACAATTTATATACTGATTATTCATAATTTACATACTGAATGTTCACAAGTCAAATTGTGAATATTTAGTATGTAAATTGTGAACATTCAATATGTAAATTGTGAATATTTAGTATGTAAATTATGAACATTAGTATCTAAGATTATAAACATTTAATATGTAAATTGTTAATATTCAATATATAAAATGTGTATTTTTTTACCAAAACAAGGTGGACCCAAATCCACATAATAATTTGCCATATAAAAGGGTAGCCAGAAAATGTAATACCTACCTAACATCTCATTTAATTTTCAAACACCATTCCTAATTTCCTACCTTCTATTATATTCACATCAAATTATACCATGGATCATAGTCCACCTTACCTTATGTACCATGATTTAAAATGACATTTAAATTATTTATATACAGTTAACATATTATATCCATGCAGTTAATAGATTATGTGTCTGTAAATTAAAAGTACATAACATGCTAACTTTATATTATATGCATTTATTTAACATATTATGTGCTTGTAATTAATATATTATGTCACGGGACTGTATCTACCAATTATGTGGTGGACATAAGATATAAAAACCATCCATATAAGCTATCATTTTGTATATGTATAAAAGTTTATAAATTCAATTAACTTTGTATTATTTATAATTCGCGTAAATTGTTTAATTGATGAAGTCTAAAAATGTAACATGTTAATTATATCAATTGTTTGATGTTACACTACAATAAGGGTGTAAACGAGCCGAGCCGAGTTCGAACTTGATAAACAATAGGTAGGCTTGAGCTCGACTCAGTTATGAAACGAGTCGGCTCGAATTCGAAGTTGACTGAGTTTGAGTCGAACTCTAACTGAGTGGTTCATCAGTCTAAAACATTTGAGCTTGAACTCGAGCCGAGCTTTGACCGAACGACTCATGAACTGCTCAGCTCATTTACATCCCTACATTAGTTATATATATTGCACATGTTTTCAATTCGATCAATAATTTAATTGTATCTTTATTAATAAGTAAAAGAACTTATTTGATGATGATTCCTAAGAAAAATAATAGAATTGGACCTAGCAAGAGATTTCTAAAGGGGACTTCCTTTTCAAATCACAATCACTTATAAGGAAAATAATCAATAATCTTTTCTCTTGCCTAGCTTTTGGTGTTTGTACTTGAAGAAAATTTCATTTTTTCTATATAACTAAAAAAAAGTGAAGATTATATTTGAAATTGATTTATGTTTTGTCCCTAGCATGTGACATAATTTCTTATATTGTCTTTTTTTTTTCTTTTTCTATTTCCTCTCCAGTACTCATATGCAATTTTTGTACAGAGTATAAATATATCAAGATCAGAGTTAATACCTGATTTAGTCCATCGACTACTAAAATTTTACCATTTTGATCATCGAATGTTAAATTTGTTCAATTTCATCCTCAACTATGTAATTGTTAACTAAAACGGGTCTAATTAGGACCATTTTGGTTAAGACAAATGACTGTTTTAGGTAAAAATTGTAAATGGAGTTGAAATTGAATAAATTTGAAAGTTGAGAACCAAAGTGAAGAAATTCTAATAGTCGAGAGACCAAATCAGGTATTAACTCATATATCAATTATTGTTATTTCTATTTCTAACTTAGTAACGAACTTAAAATAAGTTATATATTTTGCTGACAGCCACAAATTATAAAACAACATATTTTGTACAGATAAAATAGGTGAAGTTTAGGATTGAAACTTGTTATGTCTGAAAACGTTTTCAACAGTGGACTTAATGACTGTAGTAGACAGAGTAGGTAGACAACATCATATGATATACGGTCACTTTCTCATAAAGATTGTGTTGCCCATGCTCTCAAAATGTCGCTTTTGAAGTTCCCTTTTGTTGGGGAAGCCAAAAAGTAGAAAAATACAATAATAATATCAGATATAGACATCAAAATTTCACCTTCTCCTAAATGATTTCAAAAAGTTGTGTATGGACAAAGATGCCAATAGATATATATGCATCTTTTGTATGTACCTTCATCCCAAAATTTCAACACCTCAAAAGTGATAACAAATCATTTTTTCTTCAACCCTAAGAAACACCATCATTGCAATTTGCGACCCTCCACGTCCAACTTAGACTTCATCAACTACTTTCAAGTATTCATCTTCAATTCCCACAAAGTGTTTAACTATGTGTGATATTTTGTTTTTAAAAAAAAAAAAATTCTTTTATATCATATCGGTGCACGTGATATATTATATTTAGAGTAATACCACTTGTCCACACAGATAATTGAGTTGGTTCTTAAATGATAAATTATGAACAAAGACGTAGAATTGAGCCCAGTCCTGACATAATTTAGTGAGTCACCTAGGGATTTTGCCTTTTGACATATAACACTTGTAATGATGCTTCTTCTAGCCACTTTTAGAATATGCAAAATTGATTCTTAGTAGGGAGTAACCCGACCAAGCCAAGTTGTTTAGTTTGTTGGTCTAATTACTAATACCTCACAACTTTAATTTTTCCCGTGGTAAGAAAATTTAGGTCAAGGTAGACATTAACGTGAACCCTAATTTTAATTTTCAATTACCGGTGGTCGGGAAATTAAAAACATTTTAAAAAAAATAGTCATTGTTGTAAAAATAAAATAGACACTTGATAGCAACTGATGTACTATGATATCTCATCACACATAGTCTATTTAGATACTTAAATAACACGTAAATTTATTGATACCATGCATTCGTACCCAACTACACAAATAAAAGTATGTTCTTCAAATAATAAATATTTATTATAACTTATAATGTATACTCGTTACCCTTTCCTGATAGCTGATGTGTTCAGTTTCCGTTCTCGTAATGACTTAATTAAATGAAATGGGATTAAATTGAGATGTATGAAGAGCACAATGTGGTGGGAGCTTACCCTTTTGGAAACATGTTAGGGTTGCTAATTTGGTGCTAGAAATTCAAACAAGTTGCCATCTCAAAGCATTATATTCAAGAAACAAAGGACAATATATATAATATAATGATAATGATAATGATCTCTCAATTAGATATGTAGATTGATGATGATATGAGAAGAGATGTGAAATTACATAAACAACCCACTAGCAATGGCTTGATTGATTTTCATGAGGCTTGTGGTTCCATAGACGGGCAGTTCGTCTCTACTCTCATCCACATGATGATGATGATGATGATGAGTGGCGCCAGCAGTGCCGATGTTGTCCAGCTCGAACAGATCCGAGCTGGCACAACTCCTCCCATCATCCTCGTCATCATTGTACATTCCTCGTACCACCACCTTATTGCCGAGGTTCTTGACCTCGAGATCTCGAAAGCTGCTGTCGTCGTTGAGAATCACGTTGACGGGGCAAAATCTGACTGATCTTTTGGATTTGGACGACGGGGTTTTGCTCAGGCAGGATGGGGCGGCGGCGGTGGTGGTGGAGGCCTTCATGGATCTTGATTTCCTCACCGAGCTCCATTCCTCCGCCGCGGAATCGAAATCTTCGCGGCGGTGGGGTTTGTTGTTCTTGGAGGTGAAGATCGAGTTGAGGAAGTTGCAGATTCTTCTGCCGGGAGAGATGGGCTGCTTCGTCTTCTTCAGCTCGCCGTAGAAGCTCAGAATGCTGGATTTCCTCGCCGCCGTCTTCTTCGTCGGTTTCCGGGCGGCGAAAACGGAGGATCTTGAGGCAGAGGACTCTGCTTCGGAGGAGGAGAATATGCTGGCCATGGAGTCCGTCGAGGAGTTCGAGTCGGAGTTCAAGTGTCTCGCCGGAGTTGCGTTCTTATTATTCGTGCAGTTTTCCACCCATTTCTCCACCATGATTGCGCGTCTAAGGCTGGCGATTTCCTGGCCGCCGGCTTCCGATGAATTGTTCCTTCTGATGAAGCTCCGGTCATGGCGCCCGTGCGATTCGTCGATGGAGTGGTAGATGGATTCCAAGAGGGAGGAGGAAAACGACGGCGTTTTCCCCCGGGATGGCCTTTCCCAGGAGGAAGACATGTGTTTGAATTACAGGGAGAAGATCAGAGTAAAATGAAGAAGATGAGGAAACGGGAAAAGCAGAGGTTTATATATATATATATATGGTGGGAAGTGAGAAGGAGAAGAGAATATTGAGCAGAGGAGGGTGTAGTTAATGGCGAGGGAATAAAATGGGAAAAGCCAAATGCTACGGCTTGGATTTTGGGACAATTGCAGCGAACTTGTAGACTTTAGGGGTGGTTGGTAGGGGAACCCATGACTAGTTACATCGTACCATGCAACGTACATCTTATGTTGGATCAATATTCTAATTCAACTCTTAGTTTTTAAATAGGTTTAAACTCTAAACATGACGATTTTGGAGATTGTAAGAAGAAGTAAATTGTAAGATGTGTTTCAATTATGTAGGGTTAGTGTTTTTTTTTTTGCTCTAAGATTGAGATCTTTCCCCATTATATTGAGGATTTGAACATAAGGTATTTGTTAAGTCACTATATTCACAATCAACCTTTCGACACTGAGTTATTTCTTGGGGGAGATATATATAGTTTTTCAATACGTGAGAAAGGATTAGTAAAAAAATGGAAGTAATAACATGTCTAAGTAATTATACTACACTGAGTTGTCAATATATGTTCAATACCATCAAGAGATCAAGAGGTAAGAGGGATGTCAATAATAATCAAGCCAAGTAAAGATTAATATTGTGTGTCGCCAACCATTTACACAAAAAAAATTGCTCTTCTATGAATGTAGGAAATGGTAGCCCTCTTCTCGATTAACAAGGTCATGTATAGAAGACGTGATATGAATTGAGGGGTCTCAAGCATTTATTTTGTTACATTTTTTTTTTGTACTGATAGAGATTATTCCCCGACCGTAGGTCTAATGGTAGGTCAGGGGTCTTTGACACTTAAGGAGCATAACCCGATCTGACCGGACCGCATCGCATGACCTCCGGACCTATTCTTTCCCTCGACCGCACCGGCGGACTAGCTCATAGGTCGTCCAAAGACGGACTAGTGACTCGACCTCTCACAGCGTAATCTTATCTCATCAGGGATGTTATGACACGTGCATGAAACCCCTTTCGCCCCGGCCTAGCCCTGTGCATGGGCACCACGTGCCCAACATGCCGAGGGCTCGGAACCTGCCTCTTCTCACCCCAATAAATACCCCATTTATTAATGAGAGGACTTTTCACCTACTTCAAGACTAGTACGATAAGCTCGGAGGCTGCCGACCCACTGTCACAACGTCCCGAGCTTGAGAATTAAACCAACAAGCAGGCTAGGTAGGAGATCCGACCCGATATTGATCATAATACTATACTCATAGACATACCGATCGTATATACTATATCAAGTACTATTGACTCTATTACAAGATAGTATCTGTTCCATAATTTCTCTATTTGTTGCAACCCAAATAGTCAATACCCTACCACCTGAGTTCTATCATGTTACCTTCCCTCAAGTATCACTAATTCATAATTCAAAGAAGCAACTCAAATTGCACAACCACAAATCATTTTAACATTGATGGCCGGGGTATATGACAATTTCATTGATTTAATAATTGAAATAGTAAGCTTAAATTTTTAAGTCAAATGTTATCTTTCTATAGTACTGACTCGAGTCTAACTGGTTAGATACATGTTAGGCAACTTGCCTAGGTCTACATACAAGAATCAACCAACTTGGATTTGTAGGACCTTGGTCATAGTCCACCATAAGTATCTAACATACTAATTAGTCTATCAAATTCACTATCTATCAAAAAATGTCATGTCATCTAATTTGTAAAGTGTTATCATGACATACGATAGAGTAATATTATATTTACTCCAATTTTTTACTCCTTACTAATGTGTTATCCTTTAATTAATTTAAACAACAAAATAATTCATTATTTTTATTCATTCACTTTTCTTTAGCCAATAAAATTTATACTAGTGGCAAGAATTATACTTTATTGAACTACATACATCATTTTCCTATGTGACATTATAATTTGGGATTTAATATAAATACCTTTCCAATCTCTGAACCTAGATCAGCTCACATCTCATTTATCACTTGGTAGTGTGAAGTGATAAATACATGTACGTACTTACCCAGTAAACAATATAAAAGAAGCAGCTTTAGCGCGCGTGCGTGTGATCTGGCAGATCAGTAGCTAAAAGCTAGTGTAAATTGCTATATTCAGTTTCATCTGTTTTATGTTCCCTGTCTTCTCAAAGGCCTATTTTTAATCCAACCACTTAAAGATTGAAAGTATAGAGGTAGAATCAGTGCAGACAGAGAATCTACTACCATTATTATCCACCACAACACTTGCCTTTAAAAAAATAAAAATAAAAATTGATGGGTTGAGTACTGATGGTTTTAGAGCATCCATACTAGTAGTTATTTAGGAGTTATTTCTACATGAATTCTCTCCACCCAAAGTTAATGTGGGGAGGAGTTATTTCAAAAATATTTCTCCTGCAAATTATGGTATATTTGTGGGTCCAATAGGTAAGAGAAATAATTAAAATATAGTGGGTTAAATGGTGGGTCCATAAAAAACTGAGAAATAACTCAAAATTGATGTGAAGAAGGTTTTTTTGTGATTGAATGAGATGGTGGAGGATGAGGTGGATGCTAAGACCCACAAATAACTGAGAAATAACCTCGACTGATAAGAATGCTCTTACATTTGGTTTCACACTAACTAGTCAGTATAAGAGCATCCACAATGGTTGGAGAAAATTGGGGGATAATGTAAGAGTGATTAAGAAAGAGAATGTGGGAGGGGAAAGAAACAAAAAAGAAAAAAATAACAAAAATTGAAATTAAAAAAAAAAAAAAAAAACTGTTGCGTCAGGCACGCTGACAGCGCGCTTGACGCGCCACACGGGCGCGTGGAGTGCACGCGCCCGTGTAGCAATGGGCTGTGCGCGTTGTTAACTTTTTGTTTTTACTTTTTTTTTTTTTTTTTTTCTGACATTATCCTCTCATTTGCAGGATAAATATCTTCTAAAATAACCCCACCCCACCCAAGATAATTCATCTGACAATAACTCTATAATATCCACTGATGTGGATGCTCTAAGTTCATTTCAGCTCGAGATTCTCGGAAGCGTTTGCCCATTTTTGAAAGGGACAAGTAGGATGATTTATTTTTTAGTTTAGGTGATTACTTTCCTTATGTTTTGGACAATCAAATTGTAATCAATGTGTAAGATTTTAGATTTACTTTCTTAATTTAGTCTAAACACCATAGTTAGGATTTTAGCTGTATAAATACCCTAAATAAGGGTAAGGTTACAAAATCTTGAATATTGTGAGTGTTGTGATTATAGCCTTTAGCTCGTAGTCATTTTGAAGAAACGAATCGTATCATTGATGAAAATAATATAACAGGGCGTTTGGTTTGAGGGATTTTAAATTCCCTTCCTATTTAATTCCTACCTAATTCCAAAGACCATTAAATTCCGTAGTTTGGTTGGAGGGAATTGCAATTCCATGGAATTGCAATTCCCCCATTTTCATGGAATTAAAATCCCATGTCCCCCCCTGGTATTTTAATTCCTGGGAAAAAAAGATAGTGATGAGTCAAAATTACCCCTTCCTTTTTTAACCTCAAATTAATGTCTAACAACAACAATGGACATTTTTGACTTTATACTACTTATTCCCTTTCAATTCCCATGTATACCAAACATTTGAATTGAAATTCCCAGTAATTCTATTCCTGTCAACCAAACACTGGAATTTAAATTCCCACTTTATTCCCAGTAATTCAACTCCCATGGAATTACAATTCCTTTCCCACATAATTCCCCCCTTCCAACCAAACGCCCTGTAAAGATAAGGAAGAAGAGAATAGTAAGAATGTAGAGACAAAAATTACAACTATTTCATTCCATCAATATAGCGGTTACATATTCTAATTATAATGTCCACTCAATATACAAATAATGTACCTTTAATATATTAACTGTATACTTTTATTTATTGTCCACATAAAAATTTGGTTAATAAGAATCAATCGTTATGCTGTGGAACCGTGTTCACCTTGCAGGTCCACATAATAATTTGCCACCTACAGTCCACCCCATTTACGCGAGCAAATTATCCCGTAGAACCGTGTCCACCTTCTACATGCTGTAGGTGACACATTTACATACACCTTCAAAAATTTACTTTTTAAACTTTCATAACTTGTGATGACCCTTTATTGTATTCACAAATTTTCAAAACTTAGAAACACAATTTAAATTATAAAAATTCACAATTCTAATACTAAAATTCACATGGTATAACAACTGTTATGCTGTAGAACCATGTCCACCTTGCAAGGTGGACACGGTTCTATGTTCATAATTACTGAACTATATGTTCATAATTATAAAGTTATATATTTATAATTTTGAATTGTATATTCATAATCATTGAACTCTATATTCACAATTACAGAATTCTATGTTCATAATTATTGGACTAAATGTTCATAATTATAAAGCTATATATTCATAATTTTTGAATTTCATATTCACAATTATTGAATCTCTATATTCATAATTACATAACTATATGTTTATAATTATGTTCACAATTCTATGTTCATAATTTTTTAATTATATATTCATAATTATGAACAGTTTTAAAACAGTGTTCACATTGCAAGGTGGACACGGTTCCACGGCATAATTTGTCACTGACTATCAATCATTATTGTATGGATCATGGTCCACACAAGCTGTGTGGACCATATTTTGTATACTGCAAAATAATGTACATTTAGTACAAATATATTAAAAATGTACATTATTTGTGTACTGAGTGTACATTATATTGTATAATGTACATTTAGTATATTAAAAAATATACTTTTTGTTATGGTCTACACAATAATTTGCCCACTGAGTATAAGTTGGGCCTGCCATAATTGAATAGGTCCATAACGACTTGGTTGTGTTGGTGGAAGCCCAATAGAATTTGAACCCGACTGAGCATTTATGATGGCGGTTCACCATTTCCTCTGGTCGGTGTACCGGACTTGTGCTTCCAGGCTCCGGCTAAGAGAAAAGAGAGAGGAAGATTGCATTTGCATTTGAATTTGAATTTGAATTTGCATATACATGTAAGACGTATGTGATCGCACATGCGCGTGCGCATCTACTCGGAGAGGGAGAATGCTGGAGTTGTACTTGACCTGGATGCTGTACGGCGTGGCAGCGACGGTGCTGGCGGTGATGGCATTGCTGGTGGCGTTCCAAGATAGGCTTGTCTACGAGCCGGTGTTGCCTGGCGTCCCCAAGTCCTATCACATAACGCCTGCTCGCCTCCGCCTCCCCTACGAAGACGTCTGGCTCAGATCTTCCGACGGCGTCCACCTCCATGCCTGGTTCATCAAGTTTTTTTCCCACCGCCCAGGTCTCTTCTCTCTGTCTCTATCTATCATTCATTATGTGTCCTGAATTTTAGGTTTCATGATGTTTCAACTCGAATTGTGCTGGAGAATTGGTGAATTTTGGCTTGAGTATACTTGAGTTTATTATAGGTGTTAGGAATTGATGTTTCATTGCTGTTGTTGTTACTTTTTGAAGTTGATACTGAACTATAGAGGTTAATTTGACCTAACCGTAGTCGTACATTGAGAATGTCTATAGATTTTTCTCTGTTTACTTGAAATTTTTGGAGTGTTCATGAGCTACTGAGCTTGGCTGGGTATAAATTTGATGTCAAGAGCTGAGTGGCAGTTTTAAGTTGAGGGTAATTTTGACCAAAATCCAGTTATGAGACATGGTCCTTCTTCAAGGTTCAATGGCGAAGCAAGCTTAGTTGGACAATGGAGATATAGAATTTGGGTGGTATAGTGGTTTCTGAATTATTGTCCTAGTTGATACTCTGTAATTTTAAATCGTGTGGTATGTGGAGGTGATAGTGAGGCAATTTGGAAGATGAAGTAAACATAATTTTCTGACCAAAAATATGATATGAAATAAGTTTTGAAGAAAACAACATGGTGAAAATAATTATACCTATAGTTGCATCTCTACGCGTATATTATTATGAATGAAATGCTTGTCAATCATTGAGCTGCTCAATTCTAAAATATGGTGATGAGGACCACAGGTAAGCTCTCCAATTTTCAGGATGAGACTATGTTAGAGACTTAGAGGAACCCCAATAAGGGGTTCATCATCAACTTTTAGAACAGTAAAATCCTCTTGGGTCAGATTTTGACAAATGGGAATGGTAGCTTTTGGCAATTTCTTCCTCCTGCAAGCAAAAAAATTCATGTCAGCTTTTTAAGTGGAGTGGGTCCCACTGTGGGAAGAAATAGTTGCGTGAGGCGCAACATTCGCGTCCAGGCGGGCGCGTACAGTAGCGTAAACATACTTTCTATTTATTATTATTTTTTTAGAATTTGATTTTGCTATTTTTTTTTTCTTTTCTTTTTCCCTCCCATCTCATTTTCTCTTTCCTAATCACACATACAAAACTCCTCAAAAACTACACCAAAATCCCCACTATTGAGGATGCCCTTAGAGAAAAGAACAAGGAAGTACCTTTATTGGCTGTAAACTGAAATATAAAAAATAGGATTGCCACTATGACTTTCCCCAACAAGAGTTTTAGGCTTTTTTGCCCAACAACAGTTTTAGGCTCTTGCCCAGCTACAAAAGCTTGAAGACTAAGGATAAAAGATTGGATGCTTTCCTCTCATCTAGAGATTCCAATTTATAGTGCAAAGAAATAAATAAATATAGAAAAGGAGATAATTGTGTCTCTGATTTATTCTTGTCTAATCCCCTCTTTCCCTGATCTGTGCATTATGATTTTCCTGATTTCCATTCTTGCATTCATTCCTTTTATTGCATGAGTAAACTACCCATTCCTTTGGGTGCGTATCAAACTACACTATGAATGTTGCATTTAGATCCATCATTCCCCAAAGCAGTGAAAAATGATAAACATTTCATGTGCTTCTAAAATTATAATTCACACATGCCATGATAACATAATGACCTGGGTAAGGGAACTGCATATGGGAGGCTTCCTTGTTGCTTGATATTTGATCTCTGTAACTAATTATAAAAATGCACCATAACTTGAACTTGTAGATAGTGAATTGTTTGCTGTTAATTCCCCATGTTGCTCATTGTGTTTGCTGGTGGTTGACAGGCCCAACCTTGCTCTTTTTTCAGGAAAATGCAGGAAGTATCCTTTTATTAATCTGCCTCTTTGTGTTAATATTTTTCTATCATGTTTCTTCTCAAGTTCTCATTACAACTTAAAATTTGGTTTAGCTGTAACTAGTTGACTGCAGATATTGCCCACCGTCTTGAAATGATTCGCAAATTGTTACGGAAGTTGCACTGTAATGTCTTTATGCTTTCATACCGAGGGTCTGTTGATTGCCTTTATCAACTGTTGTCTTTGTCTTAGCATGTTGTTATGTTATTAACTTGTTTCTTTTCTAGTACACAGCTATGGTGCCAGTGGTGGATACCCTTCTCAGCATGGAATTACAAAGGATGCTCAAGTATTGATTGCTACCATAATTTTCATGCCAGACAGATTCAACTATACCTTTCAGGTTGAGTTCTAAGAGATTATGTTTTCTTTTTGAATAGGCAGCAATAGATCATCTGATTCAGAGGACAGATATTGACACGTCTAGAATAGTAGTTTTTGGAAGATCACTAGGAGGAGCAGTTGGTTCTGTACTTGCCAAAAATAATCCTGATAAGGTATCTAATATGCTTGTGATTATTTTAGTTATAATCAGATGCTTCCTAACTGATGGTGGCACTGTCTTGCCCCATTTCCTGTTCTTATTTCTTTATAATGCATTTGACAATTGTCTAGTATCAATACAAATTAGTGTCATCTATTATTTGGCTTAGCCAAGGATGAATGTTCTTGTCTAGTTTGTTTCCAATTTGTTGTTTTGTGCTTGCATCATATATTGTTATTTCCTTCTTGTTTGCATTTCTAATTAAGATTTATTCTAGGAAGTTTCTAAATTAATCTTATTGTTTGTAAGGTATATATTGATGCAATTCTATCTTTGACCCTACAGTATTGTGGGATTTTTGTAATTGCAGGTCTCAGCACTGATTTTGGAGAATACTTTTACCTCTATCCTTGACATGGCCGGAGTTCTTGTGCCGTTCTTGAAGTGGTTTATTGGAGGAAGTGATTCAAAGGGACTCAAACTTCTTAATTTTCTGGTTAGATCTCCATGGAATACCATTGATGTTGTTGGCCAGGTGAGGCCACAAGTTCATGAAGTTATTTTGCTAATGTTTTGACTATTAATGAGTAAATCTAAATGCAGTAACTTGAAAGAGGCATCTCCAATGTGTTTGCTAATAAAAAAAAAAAAATCATTTTTTGGCATGGCCTTTTTAAATGTTGCAAGTGACAAATAGTCGTGCACCAATTCCGGACATTATTATTATTCAAATGGAAGCAAATGAGGTAGCTATTCCATTACAAGCCAAGATTTCTTTTCTTATGTATCAACATTTCGTTGATAGTCTTACATTCAATGATTATCATTCACTGGACCTGTGATTTTCATAGCTTCTCCAATATCATCAAGTTTGTAATTTTGTGAAACAACTATGTAGTAATTATTGTAATTTTCTCATGGGTTTGTTTCATAAGTTCATGATTCTTTTTGATCCATAGAAGTTTTCCAAGATTACTCTGTTTAACCTTTACTGTCTTCAATCTGTTACTTTTATGCCTGAAAACCTTGCAGTACTTATCGCCTGAGGCATTTAATTGCAGATCAAACAACCAATCCTTTTCCTCTCTGGTTTACAAGATGAATTGGTTCCCCCATCCCACATGGAGATGCTATATTCCAGGGCAGCTGCATGCAATAGGCAATGCTTATTTGTGGAGTTTCCGACCGCAATGCACATGGATACATGGTTGGCTGGTGGTGATAAATATTGGAGAGCAATTCAGCAGTTTATGGAACAAACTGTTCCGGAGAAGAAGGATCATGAACTACAAGGGGAAGAGTACCACAAGAGCAACGGTAAGTCTTAGATATTGAATCTTCCTCTGATATATTGCTGCAAGCGGCATTATCTATCTTCCTTTCCTGCTTGATGGTGCTATTATATAGGTCATGCATATACAAATATAGTGCATTAAGTTGTGGGACATCAAAGCTATTCCCAAGTGAAATTTCTCAGGGTGCAAGATGATTTATCTTATTGCAAGGGAAATGGGGTCAATGTTGCAGAAGGCGCTAGGCGCCGGGGGCACCTAGCGCCTAGGTGGCCGAGTAATTATTAATAAAAAAAAGAGGCAGTGGGCTGTGAGTTGTTAGACTATTATAATCCTCCAAAGTAGTCAATTACATATGTTAGACTGTTAATTGAGTACATGGCTCGAGGAATATGCAAGACAGTAAGAGGAACAACTGAGCAGGTGACAACGTACAGGCGAGGGAATTAAAGGAAAAACCACTCGACCGAGTTGGGCGCTGATTCGGCTGAGTTAGGCTCCGAGTTGGGCACCGACTTGGCTGAGTTAGGCGCCAAGGGCGCCTAGTTAGCCGCCTGACTAAAAGCTGCCTAAGGCTGAAATTCTCTCGGCTTAGGGGCGCTTAGGCCGATTTTTACAACACTGAATGGGGTAGGTATTGACATGTTGTATAAAGCCTTTGGCCTCTCAAGGAAGGGTTAGCCCTTTTAAACCTGTTCTCAGATTTAGAAGCAGTGTAAGACGATAGCATATACTGGCACAGTTTTCTTTTCTGGAGAGTGCAATTAATTTCACTGATATAGAGAATGCAGTGTAGTGGTGCACTATATCTATGAGATTCTGAAACTATTGTTTTGAAAGATCAGGATACATCTCGTACTTTTAGAAACGTTAAAGTGGGAGAGTGTTCTAAAAATCTAAATTAAAATATTTTTAGAAAATCTTGAGAAAAGTAATTATTCATGCCCATGGGTTAGAAAATTCAATTAAGAATCCAACAACATTGCCCATAAACTTCCCTGAAATTACTAGTTTCAACACTCTACAATTCTGTAGTCTTCTGAATTCTGATATTAAATTCTTTGATAAATTGTCATTGCCATTGTATCTTGAAGGTGTCTTGTATTGTCATTTTTTGTTTTGTTAATTTTGAAACATCAAACATATACATTGTCTCATAAAGCTTATAACCCAGAAAATGCTTAGTGCGGTAGTGCCCCTATATTTACCACTCACAAACTTGCCACTCCCTAATGTGGCAAATTTTAATTTGTTTGTTTGTTTGTTTGTTTGTTTTATTTTTTAAAAACCATTTAAAACTGGCCATATCAGGGAGTAGTTACAAGTTTGTAAGTGATAAATGTAATGACACTAAGCATGGTCCTAATTTATATGGAGCAGCGAAGATTTATAATCATAAACTTTGCCAAATGTTATCACTATACAATGACTCAAGTTCATTTCTTCTGATATATTGTAGTGGCGAAATGTTCTGTGTGATTGCGACCGATGGACCGCGGAGCTCTCAACTTTTTTTGTCCCGGAAACATTCAGTGCAAATTTCCAGTGGCAAGGCAAGATGTGGATTGTCCAATGTTAAAATATATGATACCATATCTTTCTTAATTTTATTGTTATAGTTATACAATACACATGTAATGATAGATAGCATAAGGGAATTCAGTCTGAACATCAACATTCCTTTCCTCTCATTTTTAGCCTAAAAAAGAAAGCTCCTGCCTACAGAAATAGCTCGCCACTCGCCTGTGTTGTTGAATTGAATGTGTATCTTAATCCATCAATATGGGTTGACTAGCTGAGAGAAGAAGCAGAAACTTTATATTCATGAACCATAATTTTTGGAATCAATTGAATATTTGTAATTGTAATGTTTCCATTTTAGTTATCTATTATCAATTTAAAATTTATTTTAAAATATAATCCCTTAAAAAAAATAAATAAATTATGAGGAGTAACGAAAATTTTAGTAGTCCTTTTGTCCTATTTTGTGTGTTTGATAACGATAGGTAAGATGCGACGGTAAAAACTTATCCATTTCATCGTCAAAAACGGCTAGACTGTAGAGTGCATATTATATATTGTCGGGTCAATAAAATTTAGCCTGATTATCATTAAACTAAAAAAAATAAAATATATTTTTAAGAAAAAGTCATATTCGTAGGTTTCGTTTCTCTATTCTGAATTGTGTCTGAAATATCCATTCTGCCCATCCCTAGTCCGTATCCTGGTTCCTGGCCGTCGCTAAACCCCCATTTAAATTTACGATCATGCCCCCATCTCTTCCAATTTGTTTCACTATACACTACACGGAGTATTTATTTATTTTTATAAATTGTATATATAAATATTCGTTCCGCTTCAGCCTTCAGCGACGGAAAAGCTCTCGTTTTGTGACAGTTTCTCTCTCACTGCTCTCTTTCTTCAGAGTTGAGAGGAATGGACGGAGGCGGACAGTATAATCCTCGAACTGTAGAGGAGGTGTTTAAGGATTACACGGGCCGCCGTAAAGGAATGATCAAAGCCCTCACTACCGGTATATATATATATATATGCGCATAAGCTTGCACCTCTGTGTTTATCTATGTATATTTTAGCTAATATACCTCACAGTAGCAATCCCTACTGTGTGTATTTCTTCCTTTCCTTTGTTTTTTTTTGCTTTTTTGTTTTGTTTTGTTTTTTGGAGTTCTTAGGGGGTTTCGAATCTCGCGCATTTTTAATAATTTATTGTCTAATTTTGACTAATTCTTTTGCAGATGTGGAGGATTTTTATCAGCAGTGTGACCCGGGTGAGTTGCTGAGTTAGGGATCTTCGTTTTTCTTACGGTTCGCATTAATGCATTTAGGTTTACGTCTGCATTTACAAGTGAATTTCTGTGTGTTTTGTTTTTTGGGTGAGTCGTGTTGACTTCTGAAAGAATTGTTCTTGCACTTGGGTGAAATTTATTTTGGTCTGCTTTAAATTTGTGCTAGTAATTTGTTTTTTTTTTTTTTCTGTTTCTGGAAAGGCATGGGCTGTAAATATGATTTATTTAATTTCTTTGTTTTCTCAAAATTCGGAATGATTAGAAGTGAATAGTAGTATTCTTTGGGAATATAAATGTATATAATTTTGTATTGGATGGTTAAAGCTTTTTCTTAGCTATATTTTACGGTACCTTTTGGGCTGATTGCTGACTTGCTGTGTTTACTTCAAAAAAAAAAAAGAGTGCTCCAAATCTTGGTTGCTGTTTTTTTTCAGCAAGTGCGAAAGCTGTCTTTGAACAACTTTAAATGCATACATAGCATGGCAAGGACATGTTTTTACTGGAGAGTGATAAGTTTTCCATGATTTTGGTGTGGCAACTGGTTGTCTATTTGTGATGCGAGGTGAAAAATGGACAGTTGTCAGTAACGAGTTGAGTGGTTGTCTATATGTGATGCGAGGTGAAAAATGGACAGTTGTCAGTAACGAGTTGAATGGTTGTGTCTATATGTGATGTGAGGTGAGAAATGGACAGTTGTCAGTATCGAGTTGAATGGTTGTCTATATGTGATGCGAGGTGAAAAATGGACAGTTGTCAGTATTGAGTTGAATGGTTGTCTATATGTGATGCGAGGTGAACAATGGACAGTTGCCAGTAACGAGTTGTTTTGCATGTTTTGGTTGTCGATGTGTTGTGACTTTTGAGCTGGCAGGAAGTTAATTAAAAGCAATGCCTAATCTTAGAATTTCAATTGTGTTCTACGTGTTCCCAGTTGTGTGCTTTTCATCTTTACATCACATTTCCCTGCAATAGATCTTCTTTTGATTTCTTTATGATGGATTGATACATATATTACTGTTATCAGCTACAGGCATTAGACTGGAGTATATATCCGTTCTATAACCTAGTTAAGAATGATGTATTGAGGTCCTCTAGAGAGTTTTGTGATGAAGAGACTTGACCCAATGGATTGAATACATTTTTGCTTGTGGTTTTTATGTGCCTTTTTGTTTTCTTGACTTGCATATTGACTATTGAGTTCAACAAGATTTCTCTCTGTTTTTGTTTAGGTCATTTTCCAATTCTCTTATTTCCTTACTATGTCACATTGTTTACTTCCTTTTTGGTATGCTTATTTCTACACCAATATATTGCAAACACAATCAGAGCTCTTGATCTTCCAGACTTGATTTTCACTACTGTTAAAAAAGTGTTTATATACTTGAGGGGATCACATATAGAGTGCAAAAGATTGAGTTAATATTGTCACATTTAGGGTGATGATTGCAATTCACATCCTTGCTTTATTGTTTGGTATGTCCCAATTGTTGTATTTCCTCCCAATACTACTTCTTTGTACACCTATGAAGCAGTTTTATCTTATTCCTGGTTTCTTTTTATGATTTTTTGGGTATGCGTACACTAAAGTTCTAAAATCAATAATTTCTTTTTGAACTTTTTTTTTTTTTTGATAATGGTGAACTGCTGCCAGTGGCAGACATCATTCTAGGCCATTTGAACCATTCAGTTTTTGTTCTTGCAAGTTTTCCTCTGTGTGTGTGTGTGTGAGAGAGAGAGAGAGGAAGAGGAGTTTAGCGTATACTGTTTGGAAAAAATCATTTCTAATGTTGCTGTTGACACTTGTGTCAACCCTGCAGAGAAAGAAAACCTGTGCCTTTATGGATTTCCTAATGAACAGTGGGAAGTTAATTTGCCTGCTGAAGAGGTGCCTCCTGAGCTTCCAGAGCCAGCATTAGGTATTAACTTTGCCAGAGATGGGATGCAAGACAAGGACTGGTTGGCTCTTGTTGCTGTCCACAGTGACGCATGGCTACTTTCAGTTGCTTTCTATTTTGGTGCCAGATTCGGTTTTGACAAATCTGAGAGGTGAACTCTGTTCAAATCCTGACTTTTAATAAGTTTTTATCATGATGTGATTGTTCCTTTTTATTCTTTATTTTTGTTTGATGAGCATGGAGGTTAGACTTGGCGTGTAGTAGCCAAGTGCTCTCATTGACCACTATGGCATGGGTTCAAACCCTGAAACAAGCCTCGGTGAAATAACAGATAAGGTTGAATTCATCATTCTTCTCCAAACCCTGCACAATGCAGGAGCCTTATGCAGTATGCACTGAGCCCGTTCTTATTGTTTCATTGTTTATTTATTTATTTATTTATTATTATTTTTTATTATATATGCTTGACTGTACAAGTTGTAAGATCTCTGTGGCCAGTTTTGTTCCCCCTTGAGTTCATTGATAACTTGGTATAAGGTTGCGGCATGAACTACTCTGCTCTGTCTCTGTTAAAAATGCACCTTATCTGATACAAAAATTTGTATGTCAAGATGAAAACGGTTCTAAGAGATGTATGACAAAACTGTGCATGAAGGAGAAAAGCAATTGCTCGGTTAATGGATTGGTTGCAAGAAGAGTTAGCTTAACCGTGCTAAGGTTTTATGGATTATGTATTTTTGTTTTTAATGCAGGAAACGTCTCTTCTGTATGATAAATGAAATTCCAACACTTTTTGAAGTTGTAACTGGAGCTGCCAAAAAGCAAGTCAAGGACAAATCATCAGTCACCAACAATAGCAGCAGCAAATCGAAGTCAAACTCTAAAGTGGTAGACTTATTATTACCTTTTCTTACCCAAAACAAAACAAAAATATGTTTTGTGCGCGCTAATGAACAATGACATTGAAGAAACATTTTTTTGTTCTGGTTCCATGCCTTTGCATGTTCTGCTAGACAGTCTTGATAATTTGAATTCGAATCTCAGGGCAAATACTCTAATAAGGTTCAACCGAAGGATGAAGAGGCGGATGGATTTGAAGAAGAGGAGGAGGAGGAGGAAGAGGATGAGCACGGGGATACCTTGTGCGGGGCATGTGGCGAGAACTATGGTACAGATGTATTCTGGATTTGCTGTGACATATGCGAGAGGTGGTTCCATGGCAAGTGCGTGAAAATCACACCCGCTAGGGCTGAACACATAAAGCAGTACAAATGCCCATCGTGCAGTAACAAGAGGGCACGGCCCTGATGCTCAGCTCAACGTGTGAGCTGGGTTTAACTTATTGTATTTGCCACCCGCGTTGAGCTCAGCTATTGTCCATCTCGCCATATCAATCAGCTAGGCAGGCATGTGTATTGAAGTTTCTCTCTGGCCTTTTGGTCTTGTTTTTATCAGGAAGGGATAATTTACTATGTAGTAGCTTTTCAAACTTGGACATACTTCCCTTTAGTCTTGTAAGGATGGATATGCATGTTTCTGTGATTAATGATTTAACTTGAAACGCCTCATATTGCAATTATGCTATCACAATCATTATAATCTTCTTTCTTTTTTCTTTTATTATATGGTCTGTTTGCAACCATAATATGATTGTGAACCACTAATATCCATTTTTAGCATGTTAAGTAATTTTCATTTTTAGTGAATTGAAAGTTTATTTGGCTAAAGTGTCATCTCGCACCATGAACCATTCTTGACTATTCATGCCGCACCATGATCTTTAATAAGTGATATTTCGAATCTATCTCAAGGAAGCTTTCCGGGTGTTTTGACAAGGACCAGAATGGGTTTATCTCTACTGATGAGCTTCGCCATGTCATGGAAAACCTTGGTGAGAAGCCTACTAATGAGATGATTGGTGAGGCTGATGTTGATGGGGATAGGCAGATCAAGTACGAGGAGTTTGTGAAGGTGATGATGACCAAGTGAGAACGTACTGATCAACCTCAAACTTAATCTTTGAGATTTCAATTCTTGTTAGGATGTTTCCTTCCGTGTTATTAACTTTGGTTTCATGCTTGCATTTGTTTGTATTCACATTGTTTCGTAATGCTAATCTTGAGTATCTTGTTTGCTCTTTGCTCTGTTCCTTGTTTTTGTAGTTGGGATTTTTGGTATTTATTCCCCAATTATAGGTAGTATTAGTCTGCCATTCCAGAAGAATTTGCTTGATTGTTTTTCTTTCTGAGTGACTAGTTTTGTTAATATTCTAAATTACAATTGTTGACTGCTCTAAAAACAATAATAATAATAATAATAATAATAATAATAATAATTCGAAATTCCAATTTTTGGGTCATGGCCAGACTTACAATGTAAAAATATGACCTACCACTCACATTACTGATGTTTACCTCATTACCTACTTGACATCCCTACTTTTTGCCATTTTTTGTATTCGTATTGATATTCTCTGCCTATGTGTGGTGTTGAGAAGGAGTTGGTGGATCATATTTTTCTACATTGTTAACACTTATGGAGATTATTAGATGGGGTTGAACATTGTATATTTTATGATGTTATCATTGCTTAAATTCGAGCAAATAATTGTACAATTATCCGTGCGACGCACGTGCGATTCGCGTGCGGCGTACGTGCGATTCGCGTGTGATGCATTGGTGATAATACTTGTTAACATTAACATTAACATAAACAGCTTAGAGGAGAAATAGACGACTGACGAAAGGAAGAAACTTGCACTCTAAGGAAGAAACAAGAGTCTGTTGAATGACTGACGACGACTTCAGTTTTATCTTTGAGGAAAAAATGCTCCATTCTATTATTTCCTCAACTTTCCTATTTTTCTTAAACCTTATTAATAGACTTAACCTTGAAAGATAAGCTAAGACAATGGGATAAACTTACTAAACAACTTAATAGAGGTGTCATCGCCACAATCACCCTTCACGGTGATTGCACATGCTAAGGATAAACAACTAAATCATTAAAAGTATTACTAATCATCAATCAAACTAGGGGATAAAACCCCGGTATCCAGCACCATAAAAAACATAGAGTAGTCAACTACAAGTTTCAAAAGTAAATCAACATCAAGAGTTTAGACTACAAAAGCTATCGAAATGCTAGTCTAGTCTAACTCGTACTCTCTCTTACGAACTGGGCCCACCTGAAAGGGGTTAACAATCAACAAGTAGAAAACAAACTCGTTAGCATGAAGCTAAGTATAACTCCACTCAACCCTGTAAAGTACTACAATATATACTTTTGGAAAACATTTGTTTCATCAAGCATTCTCAATTACTCGGCAACAATTAATCATGCTCACCTCAGGGTTTCTATATGCTTGCAACCTAATTATCAAATAAGCATGCTTCCACAATTGTTTAGCTTATCAACAAGCTCATACTATCACATACTTATCTTATCGAAGATCTCATATCATCAAATATCTCAGTAAGCAATCTCATGCTAACATATAACTCAATAAGGAATCTTGTGATATCATATAATCTCTAAGCAATCTCATGCAATCATATAATTTCTAAGCAGTTTCATGTTATCATATACTCAATATGCAATCTCGTGCAATCATATACTCAATATGCAATCTCGTGCAATCATATCCTCAACATGCAATCTAGTGCAATCATATACTCAATATGCAATCTCGTGCAATCATATACTCAATATGCAATCTCGTGCAATCATATACTCATTATCTCTTCCAGTCTTAAGTGTACAAATAAACACATTATAGGAGAGGGTTTCTTTTCCTCATCTGGCTTTGAAGGTGGAGGAGCAACCTCTTTCATGAGAGGTCCTGACAAGCATGTTTTGATGTCCTTTAGGCTAGAATTCCCTCCTTTGAGAGAGAACAGAACATTTGTGTTACCCCCCAATCAGATTCAGATCCACCATTCATGGACAAATTTCACTTCCCAGAACCATCAATAGCATCAGAGAAACTTCTCTTAGCTCTTGACAGAAAGTTCTTGAGCCCACACTTCTATCCTCCAAATCCTTCCCAAAAAGACAAATCTCAGCCCTTGCAGGTCCAGCCTTCCTCTCAAGGGACTCTGAACCAGGAAACCCTAGCCTCAGCTCAGTCTCCTTGAGGTTAAGATCATTGCTTTCCTCAACCTCTGTAGAGATAGTAGAGGAAGAACCAGAAGATGGGATCTTCTCAGAGGCTTCTTCCCTATCTTCTCAAAGCTTCTTTCCATGGAAGAAGCCTCTGATAGACCTATGTAATCATGTTCCTCTGACAGTCAATTCGTCTCAGACTGAAGAAGTAGAAAACCAAGCAATTTACCTTTGTACCCTTCACTTAATAGACACAATATAATGAAAAGACACAATTGCCCCTTAAACTGATGGCCAACAAACGAAAACCTAATAGAAGGACCTTTGGTTGAACAGTTTAGAAAGTCAAGTGTCTTTTTTGTCCAAATTAAAAGTCGAGGACCAATTTTAGAAATCGCAATAATCAGAGGATCATTGCTGGAATTAACTCTATTTAGTATATTAAAAACAAGGGTAATTTGCACTTTTCGTCCCTAAGTTATAAGGTAATTGTAGAATTCGTCCCTAATTGTTAGTCGTGTTCACTTTTCGCTATTAAGTTATTATTGATTATTGATGTTGCACTTTTCGTCCTTTTATTAACTTTCTGTGCTCACTTTTCGTCTCTAGACTATACTAACGTTACAAATTTCGTCCCTAATATTTTATTAGTAAATGGATGAAAAGTGCAACACTAATGATAATTTATGAATGAAAAGTGAACACGACCAACAATTAGAAATGAATTCTACCATTACCCTATAACTTAAGGATAAAAAGTGTAATTTAAACATTTATCACTAATCCACCTTCCAATATAATTTGCCTTGCAAATGAACCATTGCATGATCCACATATACATTAAAAATAAATATTTAATATATTAAAATGAATATTTATCAGCATTTCACCTTTCAATATGAACCATGGCATGATCCATAATATAATTTGACGTCTGCTAGGTAGCTTGTAGTATCCAATTTGACAACAAATTTGCTTTTGGAGATTTTTTTTTTTTTGGAAGATTTTAAATAATGCAATCAAATATAGCAAGTATTGACATTTTTTTTTTGGGTAGAAATAACAAGTATTGACATTAAAGTTACATAATAATAAACAGCAGAAATACATTTCTTCTTGCCATGAAAAAAATATATATATAAAAAGCACACAAAATGCATGTGAAGGGCCAACAAAATAATGACCAAAAACTGTTCTATGATAGAAAGAACAAACACCTTATCCTTCTTGCTTTCCAACTAAAAAGGCCTAATCCTGAGCAGCCTTCATTCTTGCAAATTTATTATACCTTTGAAGCTGGCACACTGGACCTAGCTTTCCCATAAATTATTCAACCTGAAAATGCTACCTCAATCTGATGGTTTCATTTGGGAAAATGACGTTTGGATTCCGAATATGAGGGTTCAAAGCCGCCAGCTCCTTCCATTTAGCCCCTGTTCCATGAACCCGAGAGGAGATACTCCAGAGAGTTTCGCCAGGCTGCACTGTGGTTGAAGCGGGATTTGAAGGTGGCAATGTTGGTTTATTACCGGGTTTTGACTTCATAAGTGGGTGCTTATTCTTCTTCCCCATTCCATTGGCAAGCAACCAACGCGACCCGGACTGTTGCTGAGTTGTGGAGCCCCATAGTTTCTTCTTACCTTGGTCGGTGTTCAGGCCTGCAACGTGCACTTCAGTTATTTTGTAGCGAGGGATTTTTTCCTCTTCAGGTATCTTCTCTACTTTCAGCTCCTCAATTATTTCCTCCTTTTTCACGGGCTGAGAGTCATTGTCTTCTTCATCGTTGTTGCTTCTTCTAATTTCAGAAACCGAGCTGTACATCATAGGTTTAGGTGGCACAAATTCTCTCTCCACCTGAACCAAGGCAAGCATAGGTCTACCAACTGGCTCATAGTCTCTTAAAGGATCACGAAGCTGCACCATCAATGCAACCGTAAAGTTGTTGCCCAACAAACCACACTTCCTCCCCTTGCCACGTCTCTTATCTCTTGATCTTCCTCGTACCACCTCCATGGAAGTAGCATGGTGGGCAGCAAGTAGTTTTGAGGTACGTTCACTAATCTCATCATCGTCATAGATGTCGCCAGAGTCTAACTTCATCCATTCATCAAGTGATAGGGACAAGCCCATTAACCCATCTACATCGTCACCATTGTCTTTAATATCCAGCAGGTGCAACCCACCAGCTCCTTCTAGACCCATGGATCCACCAAAACTGACCATACCCTCAAAGGTTGACAATTCACCACCGGAATCTGGGCTTACGTTTGAAGGTGCATCCTCACTTGACATGCCGGACTGTATTCTTAAGCCCTCAATTAAAAGGCCTTCAATTTTATCCATTGCCAAAGGAGCAACATCACCCAATGAAAGATATTCTGCATCCTGTTCATTGCCAATAGAGCTTGGCTCAAACTCAGAAGACCTTGATCCAGGCATAATCCCTCTAACTGCCTCAGGAAAGCCTGACATATTTTGTCCAACTGTGAATTCCTCGTGCGATTTACCATTCCTGAAATATGCAGAAGTGTAATTTCGTAAGAAAATAAAGAGAAGAAAATGCCTGTATCTGCAATAAAATGTTTCATATTCTACAAGAGAAATGGTTATTACTAGTGTTAAAACAAAAATGGCAAACCTCTCAGATCCCTCCAAGCTGGAGGCTGCTTCCCAAGCAATTTGTTGCACCGTCTTTCCTGTTATATCCTCCAATGGCATTAACTTATTTGCCTGCATTGAGAGCTTTTCAATACCGATGGAGGTCAAATGCTGTAGTATGTCCATGACACCAGATCCCATCTCTGCTGGCACCACCACTGGCTTAGAGACCTGCATACTCAATTTCCCACCACCTTTTGCATGCTTAAAAAGTGCAGGACTCATTGAGCGCAAGAGGCCTCCATCTTTGGTCTGAACAAAGGGACCTAAGCCTTCTCCAAGAGGAGGCAATATATCAAGATCCTCAGGAGGCACATTAATTGGACTGCCAAACCCACCTGAGCTTTTAGGAGGAGAATATTGAAATGCCCTTTCATTGAGACCCCATTCCCGCATCAAAGCTTCTGTCTCCAAGTCCTCCATCACAGCGGCCCTTGTTTTATTTCTTGTTTCCTCTATTTCTATCTTAGGCAGCACCTCAGAAGACTGAGTGGCTGAGAAGAAACCAAAATCCTCAGAAATGTTCCCACAATCAGGTCCACTTGGAGCATCACCAACAAATTCTGCATCATCTATATCTATCTCACAGTTAAATAAGGAACAACCAGTGGCAAGAGCATCCTTCTCAAATTGCCTCAATAGACGCTCTCTAGGGGAGTCTGGCTCACTTTCAGAACTAAAGCCAAAAGGACTATGCTCTATTCCAAGCATATTAAAAAAGTCAATAGCCACAGATTGAGTTACATCATCCATGCTGAGGGATTTCCCTTTCTTAACCGGTGTATAATCTGCTTGAACACCCAAGTAATTATCTTGATTTATAATTTCATTGTCATCTCGAGAATCTGATTCTTCATTTACCAAGTCTGAGACAGTGTCCAATGCAGAGTCCAATTCTTCCATAATTAATTCATTGGTACATTTTTCCTTCTCTTCAAATTCTAAATCACATACCGGAAGTTCATCTTTGTTGCAACCAATTTCCTTGGGCAAGGTTTGGAGTTGGGCCTCCACTTCAGTGGAAACCTCAACATTGTCCGATACAAAACAGCCCTCTACAGAATGATGCGCAACATCCGTGGTTTGGATTCCTGGTTTCTCTAGTTCCTTTGAGGACAATTCTAAACCTTGGTCCATGGCAGATAACTCGCTAATTTCACATTCATTTTCAGCATTTCCATTCGCAGTCACAGGCAACAGCTTTGAATCTGATTTTAAACTCTCTGGAGCATTAGAGATAACTTCAATCTCCAGTTTCTCATTAACTGAAGCATCTAACTTCTCTTCCTCAAGTTTCCGATAGAGCACATTCACTGACTCAGAAAGTTCTGACATTGGCACTGGCAAAACCTCATGAAGTTCCTTTATGTCTTCTACAGACCAGCTTGAAGCAGAAGAACTTGCAGGAAGGCTTCCAGCACGCCTTGCTGTGGTTTGCTCAGACTCGGTGAACAAAGCCACACTTCCACCCGGACCACTCTTCCTCATGTTCTGTAGTGCATGAACATCCTTGCTGGTAGGGAGCACTGTGGAATTGTTCCCAATTACATAATACCCAAAACTGACATTTATAGTCGCACCCTTCGCCTTCCCTGATAACCTGTAACTAGTAGTCCACCTGCCAGTGCTCTTCTCGTCTTCCAATTCCTCCAATGTAAGCGGAAGCAACCTGGTGAGATCCACCCGGTGCTTGCCCAAGTCTATTTCAGGAGTACCACAAATTGAAACATACAACAAGAAATGCTTCGCCTCATATTTAGCAGAATGGTGCGGACCATTTCCACTACCATGAACAGAACACGAATAAGTCAACTGCTCTTCAAACTCCGCTACCCCTTGAACAACCCTAACTGCCCGAGTCGTCAACTCCCCATCCCGCCTCTTCCAATGCACAACAAGGCTAAGGTCATCAAACGACACTGGCAACTCTTCAACACAGTGGACGTGGAGCGAGAAACAACAATTGAAAGTTCGACTTTTAACATGAGTCAATGCCTTAAAACCCTTCCAACTCCAAATTGACTTCTTACTGTCATCCAACAAATCCTTGTTAGCACCCTTAGCTTTCGATTTTGACTCTGGTAAATGAGTTTTCCCAACAGACTTGGACCGACTGCTCACTGTAGACATTAATCTTCTCGGCTGGGCTTTATCAAGAGATAAAGCCTTACTGATAGATTCAATATCATTTAATAACTTCCCAGTTCCTGGATTTTGACCAATTTTCTTCCTAGATTCAAGTTTTGACGACATCCCTCCACCTAAAACACTACACAAAATTTACAAAACATTCAAATTACCTACTGCTCCAAATCACACATAAATCTGGATAACGCAATCCAAAAAGCAAATTCAAAATTCAAAAAAAAAAAAAAAAAACGAAGAAGCTAGAATTGGAAGGGTTTAACAGTGGAAAATTATTTGTTTTAAGTTCAAAACAGAAACACATAATTAATTCATAGATTTTATCGCAAACATATTACAGAGTAGTATAAGCAACAATTAAAAATCTGTTTAAGGAAAAGAATCTTATTAAACACACACACACATATAATGAATTGAAGGAAAACATACGAAGAAGAAGAATGAGCATACATACTTACATCAAAGCCGCTCTCTCTGAACGCTCTGCTTTGATTCTGTAATGTTTGATCTCTCTCTCTCCTCTCTCTCTCGTTTGAGTTCAAAGTTTAAACTTTAAATCGAAAATGGACGAAACTTCAAGTTTTCTTTTTTTGCAGGATGGCCCCTCTATTTCGATGGAAATTATGTTTCGTACACTACATTTTGTATAATTTGCGATTAATGCGGATATACTAATGAAGACAAAATATGTAATTTGTCTTTTCCATCGAAAAAGGTTTCACTTTTGGAAAAAGCTTATGGGCCTAAACCCCCACGTTTCACATCCTTAATGCTTGCTTTTATATTTAATTAATAATTCACAATTAACCTAATTCAATCTTTAAACTACTTTAGAAACGGCATCAAACCAAAACATAACAAAATTCTTGAATTCTCGAATTGTTAATTGAGTGGTATTGTGATTCTGTATATTTATTTATAATAACATCAGCGAATTCATGAATAAACAAAATATATATGTGGAGAATAGTAAAATATATTGTAATCATATCAGATTGATACAAAATTTGATACAAATAACGTTTTTAATCCTAAATGTAAGATTATATGCATGATGCTTGGAATGGAAAGGAAGCAATCATTGTATATACATGTTGACCAAGATTATTGTTTGTTAGGCATGCTGTGCTGGATCATGTTCAGCTTGTAAACTGAAGCCAATAATGTCTTTTAGGTGGCAGTATTAGAGCCTATTTATGTGTCATATTATTACATGGATTATGCTCTCAACCAATTTTTTTTTTTTTTTTTTTTTTTTTTTTTTTTTGTGATGAGAAAAACTTGTTGTCACTATTTGAGAGAATTGATACAACTAATCTAACCGTATCAAATATTTAGTCTCATATGTTGTGTATTTTGCAATAACTACTGGATAAACTCTATTTGATTGGTGAGTTCCGATCTTGTGTCCAATGACCTTCTCTCCCTTAAAAGTACCCCAAAGGTGCATTTAATGCGCTTTATATAGGGGAGATAAGAGGGTAACACATGCCAACTTCTGACATGTTTGTCACGTGCAATATGAAAATTCAGCGACTATTCTCCTCATGTCAGGTAAGGAGCTGACAGCCTATACACTGGTGATTTGATAAGGTTTTCTGCTTGGTGCATAATGATAAGATGAATTAATTGGTAGTGATGGGTTGACGTCACCGCCTTCCCGATCACATGAGGTTGGGACTCGGAAGGTCCGAAGGTTCTGTGTCTGTTTGGGTTGGATACGATTGGTTAGGGTTACCTATACGATTGTCGAGTATAATTCCTAGAACATTGACGTATTTCCCTATCAGGTATATATTGGGTAAACTTGTTCAAGTGTAATACTCTGTAATTCGCAAACTACACAGGAACGATAAATCGCATCAAGATATTTTCAACTTATTGATCACTCATGCAATTGATTATGTCATGGCAATGGGTAAAGTAAGTGTTTGTTTAACCATTATTGAATCTGAATGCATTCAAAATTATCTAAACCCTTCTTGATCTAAATTCATTTGACATTACCATAGGATACTCGAAATTTGTTTAATATATATTTGCACCTACAAGGTTATCAATGTGACTGGTTTTTGGTCTTTATAGCAAAAACGAAAGTAGTTCAAACAAATCTACTATATATAATCGTTGTCTCAAAAACTAGACGTTTTATCTACCATTAACTTCAATCCATGCAACTATATTGCTTAAATAGTCTACTTGCCATAATTTATAAATGGTCAAACTAAATCATTATCTTAATGGTCTAATTATCTTAATGCCAAAATAGCCAAATTAAGTAATTAGTCATTAAATCTAATTACTACCTTAATGGATATTATTGACCTCATTATCTTGTGTCAGTGAATTAAAGGAGATTAGTTTAATAGTTGTTTGACTTTTGCTTATTACGCATAATGAGCCTCCTCACTTTGAGAAGTTGTTCTTAGTCGCTGGTGAGATTCAATCCGAGATCATTGTTTCTAAACATTATTCATATGACCAATTGAACTGTTCATGTGGACGAGATTAGTTTAATAGTTGTGTGGGGCTAAAACATAACAAGAGAATTAGTTTGATGATCTTCAAGAAATATCATTTGCTTGTGTTGACCCAACATGTTTTTCACGCTTAATTAACAAATCATAAGATGCTTCTTTTCATTTGCCTCTTCTTTGATCATCCTAGCTACCTTTAATTTCCTCAATTATTTCTTCACTTTTCATCAACTTTCTTTATCAACACTGTTGTAATCATGTACTCTTTAAAGTTGCATCAAACACACATTCAAGTGTTTGCTTGACCATGTTTGTATTAACACTAAAAAAGCGTGGGCGTTCATCTTAAAATTTTAATAAAAATTAACAATAAAGTCAATTTTGAATAATTCATTAATGAATACATAAGTGTTGCTTTAACTCTGATGTTTTCAATTTTTCATTTTTTACTTTTCTTGTATTATTATCGTTATTCTTTCAAAAAAAAAAAAAGTATTATTATCGTTATTTTTAAAAATTATTTTAGTAACTTCAAATTTCGTTAATTTTCTTCATCCGTACGTCCATCATCACCAACTTTGTTTAATATTCTTCCGTCTATTGCTTCAACCACAACTGCTACAACAACTTCCTTTTAAGACTTTAAGAATACATTTTTTTTCTGAATGCTACTTGCTCTATTACAATGTAGTATCTGTTCATATACTTTCTCAACCTACTGAAACACAAAGAACAAATAACGCCTCCACTGAGGCTCGAACTCATAATCTTCCAAATGGAAGTCCAACCCGGATACCATTAGATCATATAGTCCTGGTTAAGAATACATTTATTAATTGGAAAATTTTCCGGAGAATTAGAGAACAGAAAACATAAAACATGTTTACTAACACAATTTTTCATTTTATAAACAGGAAACAATTTTTTGGTTTTTTGGAAAACTAAAAAACTTTTAAAAACGATTTCCTAAATAGAAAACAATATCATTTATTTGGATATATATCACTATAATCACATTCTCACAATTATCTACTTACATATTTATTTATTACTATGATACATTCATTATCACTTCTTTTACTTATTATCATCTTCTATCTTTTCTACTTGCATTACTTATTTAAACATAACTTATTTGCTTACGTTTAAAGTAAGACATTATTCAATTTAAACCAAACATATCTTAAAATATTTTAAATATAAGGTCTAAAAATTACTCGAAATTAAACTTGTGTTAATTTTATAACGTTAATCAAAACAAATAAATTTTAAAAAAATAAGTGTTAGTAAACAAGTTTTCTAAACAGAAAACAAAGAATGAAGAGTGAAAAATTAGAAAAGAGAAAATAGAAAAACAATTTTCCTTTAATAAACAGACCCACATTTCTATTTTTTCTTTTGCACCATTTTTTATTTTAATTCTCATTCCTCTATTATAATACAGAGTACCAAAACACTTTTAACTAAAACTTGTTTGGGTTCTTAAATTTTGATTCTAATTCAATACAAGCAAGTTTAAGTTTTAGCATTAGGGAAAATTTTCCAATTTAAACCAACACTATCTATTATTATTATTATTTAAAAAAAAAAAAAAAAAAAAAAAAAAAACAGTATTCAACTACCTTGCATCCAGCAGTATTCAACTACCCTACATGATGTCTCCACCAAAATAGCAGCAAAAGAAAGTGGTAATATCATTGGTTGCTACTTTATTTTTTTTGGGTTACAAGAGGAAAACATGTAATTACTACCAAAAGGTATACACTAAGTAAACCCCACCTGTAAATCAGCCTAAATTGTTCATAACTGATCAGTTCAAACCAAGAAAATCAATAAATCAGGCTTACTAAAAGTCAAACTCAAGCCACCAACTTGGTTGAGATTGCCCCTTATTGGTTGATACTTGATACATGGGATTGGAACATGTTACATGTGTTCCAATAGAATGAGTATGAGTTATACATAACCCATCAAGATTATCCATTAAATTACATGATACTTATTTAGCTTTGACAAGTATGACATTGTGAATTATGCATAATCCATAAGCTTAAAATAGTCACATTTGGAGTACTACATTAGTTCATAATCATAAGCCTTGACAAACCTAGTACAGTACAAATATAAAATGAAATCAAGTATGGCAGGATCTACATTCTCCAAAAGCAATGTGACTGGGCACCAAATTCAAGAATTGATGGTGAGATTGTACAAAAGATTAGATTTTCAAGACACAAACCTTAGAGCAAAGGTTAGAGGGCAACAACGAGAAAGCCAAGAGATTTGCAGGTAGGGCGGTACAATCTTGAAGATGTAATCCATGCGGAGGCTCCTTGTATCATCAAGAGTACTGGTAGAATGCTATGCTCTTGTCATCGGACACACTAGCAAGCATACAAGACCGGGGATCGTTTTTTCCAGGAGGTCCAAAAGCCACTGCCCAAACTTGGTCAGTGTGATTGGTTAATATCTGTGTAGCTGCCCTCATTTTAAGATCCCACAACCTAACCGACTTATCACTAGAGCCTGTTGCAATAGCACCCCCATCGGGGGAGATATCAACGCTCAGGACCCAACTGGAATGGCCAGACAAAGGCATGATCAAGGCTTTCCCCTCTGCATCATACATGTGAACGTGCCCATCATCTGAGGCGGAGAAAAGCACCCTTGCATCATGAAGAGAAGGTGAAAACACGAGAGAACGCACAGGCATGCAATGACCTTCCAAGAAGTGTAAAAATTTGGCACGTATCACATCAAAAACAGAGATTGTGCCATCCATTGAACCACAGGCAATTAGTCTCCCATCAGGACTCCAAGCAACAGATAGGACAAATTTCTTTGTGCTACTTTTCTCTGTAGGCTTCAGACTTTCTGGACGAGGAATGGATAACGTCGAAATTAGTTGCCAATGAGTAGTGTCCCATAATTTGACTGATAAACTACCACCTCCAGCTGCAGCCAGAGTGGTCCCCTGAGATCAAGGCAGAAAAGGGGGTCAATTGTGATGGCATAAACACTCAATTATCAGTATATTATAGACAAATCCTGAAGTATAAAGAAACAATTAAAGAAATATAGGACCATATACCAGACATACATCAAACCACAACTTATGAAGAACATGTTTTTACAATTTAATGACCAGAATATATCCAACTCCAATTCCATTTTTTTTTTCCTATCGCCCTATGGTGAGTAATCTGGGAAACTAATTAATCTAGTGCTTAAAAACTACGCAGTAGTAATATCCAGAGGCTTTCAGCTTTCCTAAATCTCTGTTTGGTATTCCCATTCCTATTAATTTCTTGAGAAATATTAACATGTTATCAAAGTAAAGGAACACATGAAAATTGTTTGAGACCTATCTAAGCTAATGGTGCAGAAGAGTTCAGCAGCCTTGCAAGCTACATAAACTTGGGACAGCCTCAACTGAACTCAAGTCAATCTCTATGCTGTTTTCTGAATCTAGCCAGATGAGCTGATTTTTTTTCTTTCCTTCCTTTTTTAGCCTTGAGTTGTAACTTGTAAGACCCTACCCTGACTGCTTTAAGCTGTAATGCCATCCTCAGCCATGATACTCCCTCTTACAATGCTCTCACTTGCACTCTTACAACAGCTTACCATCACTCTTTCCTTTTACTCCTTTTCAGTAAAATCTTATAGTCAAATAATCCTCAATTCAGGTTCTTATTTCTTAAAAATGATTTTATCTCTCTTCTAATGTAAAAACTGATAGAAAATAGTATTCTTCGGATGGTTAAAAGATTTGGCTTGAATCAAAATGGTTTCTTGAAATCCACTAACAATGTAACCATTATTCTATCTCTATTTCAAGGGTCACTTATTCCTTGCCAGCATCAGAAAATCCAGCGGGTTATATTGCCCAGCTTTGGTAAGTACATTAGTACAAAAGCCATCGAATTTCAAGTTCACTATGATATCTATCATCGCATTACTTAAAACATCCAATCAATCAACCTAGCTAGTATCATAAATAATACTACATCTGGACAGGGTCGGTAAAGGGGCCATGTCTAGTACCTGGTGGTTGGGGAATTGTTGGGCAGAGGCCGATAAAGCCCCTAAGGGCCAAGTCCAGGACCCAAGATGGTCTATAAGTAAGGAAATAAATTGCGCCTTTGCTACTAGCTATAGCTCTTGGCGTGAGTGGTAAGCGTTTGATCGTAACCGGTGGTATCAGAGCCAGGTCACGGGGTCGATTCCAATCAATTAAAATTGGTTGGTGCTGGGAGGGGATTGTTGGACAGGGCCGGTAAAGGGGCCATGGATTGTTGGGTGGAGGCCGATAAAGCTAGAGCCAAGTCCAACACCCAGCCTGTCTCGAACAATGTGATGACGGTGTATAAGTAAAGAAATAAATTGCTTAAGCCCTTGATCCTAACAACATCTTTAAATAAAACCAAGAATATCAGAGAACTGGAGATTTTACTATTCTAATTTCTAAATGCAACCAAATTTTAACGAATATCATATCTGCATTACTTTTTTCAAAAAAAAAAAAAAAAAAAAAAATATCTGCATTACAAATTTCGTACAGAAAGCAACAGTTAAGCTCAAGTCCTACCCCATCAACTGAGGTCACCTACTAGATAAACATATAGATACAGAGAGAATTCAGAAAAGTAACAATCTTTCTTTCATACCTGTGGATTGAATGATAATTGCCAGACTTCGGAGGGAGGAGCTTCGAGGGTGGCAATGGTTCGGTTGGAATCAACGTCGAAGACGCGAATGTAGCTATCTATGGAAGCGGAAGCGGCGATCCGGCGGGTGGGGTGGGTGGCCACGGAAACGACGCCGAGGCAATGTCCAGTGTTGGTTCGCAAAGAAGTGAGCTTCTCCGGGTCCCAGAGGCGCACAGTCTCGTCGAGGCCCCCGGTGAGGAGGAGCGGTGGAGCTCCGTCACTGGGGCAGACCCACGACGCCGTCCATATGGAGTCGTCGTGGGCGTTCTGGATGCTATCGAGCGAGGCTAATTTCATGGCGATTTGGTTAACTAAGCTTAAACCCTAGCAGGAAAGATACAAATGCTTGATGAAGCTCTGATGTTTTGATGCTTTGAGAAAGTAAGAAATTTTACCCCCTACTTCGTGGGCCATATGTTGTCGGTTTGGGAATTGGGGGTCCATAGTCTTCATAACTTTTATTTATTTAGATACTTCATTTTTTTAAAAAAATAATGATCAAATTTCTTTCTATGGCTGAAAAAGATGTACGGTTAAGAGTGTTATTCAAGCTATTCACTAGATATAGATCCTGAAGACCGGACGACGATGGTGATCGATTGATTGACAGCGCAGATAAATACTGGAGAAGAAAAAGAGATATGTATTCTTAAGGCCTAAGATGATTAATGTTGACCTTGCTAGAATCCTCAACTCTCGATGAGTCATTCCATTGATAAAATCGGTAAAGGCTGACTCTGAGGATTCGAGTGAATGAGGCGACCAGGAACCCGTGGGGGTAAGGCAAGGGGGCATCCGGATACTAAGCGAAGAGATAAGACCGAGTGGCGTAGGGAGTCGGCGATGAGTGGTCGGGGGATGAAGAGTCCTAGAAGACCGTTAAGATAAATTAAAACCCCTGATTAATGAGGAAGTTAAACAGCCATTAAGAAATCGATCGTGGAGGATAATAGCGGCCAGCGATGATTAGTGCATATTTAAAGCATTCAATGCCTATTATTAGCCCATTAAATGTACTTACGTTGAATCCGAGTCCAACGTCACTCGGATTCCTATAAATAATCTCTCAAGGCACTGCAAAAGGGTCAAGCTTTTCATATATACACGGAGAATTTCCGATCAAGCATAAATCATTTCCTACCACTTTTTCGGTGATTCACCATCTTTTCCGGTTGTGTTGAACCCTTGGTAGGCTTCCCAAAAGTCTAGAAACCAACATGGGTCTTCCTTCTCCAAAAAGATCTTATTAGAGAGATCGAGGTAGTCATGAATGCATATTGGTAGAAAGGGGGAGAGATCAAAATCACGGGGATTCATTGAAATATTTGGACACAGTTGTGTGTTCCAATTAATGGGGAGATCTTAGATTTGTAAACCATAGAAACTTCAAAAACTCAGATTCATTGATGGCTACGATTTATAAATACTTTCCAAGCCATCATACCCCAACCTTAACCTCACTAACTCCAACTGCTTTGTAACTGCCTTTGTCTCCATTAGGAAGACAAACATGGGTTTATGTTTGGACACGAGGCCCAATAATTCACAAACTACCCGGGGTTACCCAAACTCTGACAGTTCCAACTTAAGAAACTCATTGGGAAGGGCGGGACTGGCTCTCCAGACACACCGGACACAAGTTTTTTTGAACCTCAGACATCTCCACATCCTTCCCTGAGGCTACACCGGGCATTGGGGCTTCCTCCTTGCGACGCTTCAAGTTGCATGCAAACCCCCTTCCTCCTCCACCACTGCCAAAGCAGTACAATCACCTCCAGACACGTCCCCACCTGGCCTCAGCTTAATTAATTATTGTTAATGAGAATGCTTTAAGAGTGGATTAATTTTGATCTTTCAATGGCTTGCTAAACTTTGTTTTAAGAATATGATGATATTATCATGAAGCGTTTGCAGTGACATATGATTAATTTGCCAATTAGTTGTGTTTTATTCTATGCTGTGTGGATATTAGTTATGCTTAAATCTGGCTAATTCTAGCATAAGTAATCTATTGAGGAAATTTATCGAGTAAACATCATACCTTCTAATTCCATGCCCTGTAGGATAAAAAGTTGGATAATTTTTACTGTCTTGTTAAAACTATTGTTCTAGTTTATAAATCGGGTGTTCCCTAATTCTTTTAGGACTTAATGAGTTTTAACTGTTTAAATAAATGTCTTAAGCATATGAACATTTAAAGCACGTGATTAACTTTGGATGTCATATGAAGTTGTCATATTGAAAAAAAGAACGAACCTTTAATTGATGGGTAAAGTTGAACTAATCTGCAAAACTAGTAGTGGTAATTGATTCATGTTCCTGATCTTTATTCCTTTGTTAGATGCTATTTCGTTTCGTGGTTCTTCAATTGTCTTCCCTACCTTGTTTTCTACTTGCTTTTTCATTTAGTTTAATCCATTTTGATTGTTTATTGAGTTTGAGCACTTTAAATTAGTAAGTCAATTATTTTCAAGTCTTTAAATTGCATTGTATCAATCTTTGTGGGTTCGACTGATACTTTTGCACACTATTACTACAGTGATTCATGAACTTGCAAGGACATTTTAAAATTGTCCATCATATACCAAATTTGGTGTAATAGATTGAAAATAAATAAAATTTGGTACAAGAATATATTGAGAATATTCATTTTGATGTGACATTTGATAGAAACTTTTAATATTTTGGTGTAAATTAAGTTAAAGATACTCTTACAAAAATACCTCTCACTTCTTAATTATAATAACAAATGCAATTAAGCTTTACCAATTCTTGATAATTCACCATCATAAACAAAACTCAACATTGAATCCCAAGCTCATCATATCAACAAATAAAGAAGTCTCTCAAAAAGGGAACAAAAACATAATCAAAACCCTAGCATATACACAATCATATTTCCTTCAAAAAAAACACTCCAAACTTGACTATATGATTTCAAGGCCCAATTGAGAACTAAAAACAACACAATTGGAGCCAATCTAAATTAAACCCCAAAAAAAAAGTGAAAAAGAAAAGGAATCTATGTTTATATTTAGGTGATGGGCCCTGGCCCAAACAGGAAAAGACGGTTGAAGGCTCTTTTATCATTCGGCCTACCAGTCTACAACTCACCCCAACTTTCGCTTTTCCCGCAACGAATTCATTTTCTCCAACCGCCACTCGTCCCTGAGCCGGGCAATGAATTTATCCGCTTTCGAGTTGACGTCGGGACTCGGGCAATAAACCGGCGGTCCGGTCACATCCTCGCCGTCGGTATGCTCCGATTTCACTGACATTACATCGACGTCTTCGATCTCCGGTGAGCTACATCGGGAGCTGTGGCTGCTCCGGATCCAAACGAAGTCTCCTCGAGCCACGAATTTGTTTTCCGGCATCCTAAACGGCGGCAGCGGTGGAGGCTTCGGTATTAATGGCGATTGCGTGCCGCTGTTCAAGTTCTCTTCGTAGTAGTTCCTTGTAGTTCTCGACGACATTGGCGGTTTTCTGGCGGCGGATGGAGGGCGATGTAGTGGTTCAGATGAAGTTTTGCGACTTGATAATGCATGTGTTGATGGTGGTGGAGGAGGTGGGGGAGGAGGAGATGAAGTTGAGCTTACTGATTTGAATCGCCTGCTTTTGTTGTTTCCACTTTTTAATACAGAATTGAGGATTGAAGATGGCGGAGGCGGGGGAGGAGGTGGTGGAGGAGATGATGATGACTGGCTAAAACGCTTGCTTATGCTCCCTGTTTTGAATAAATTATTGAAAATTGATTTTGGTGGAGGCGGTGGAGGAGGAGGAGGTGGCGAGGGAACAGCCAGTGAAGAAACAGAATGCACACGTTTACTTTTGCTGCTCTTTTTGAATAGGTTCTGAAAAACCTTGGACGGCGGTGGAGGCGGAGGTGGTGGTGGAGGAGGCGTTTGTGGCGGTATAGGTGAACTCGACGGCGAAGAGTCATCAGAAGCGCTCTCGTAGATGCTTTTTGTTTTTGTTCTCTTTTTCCTTTTCGTCTGGTTGTATAGAGAAGCTATAGCGGTTGCTATTTCCTTCGTCGCGCCGCTCTTTTTTCTATGAAGTTTCCGTATATTTTCCTCTGCTCTTATTGGAAACGGCATTGTCACGGTGGGAGGCGGCGGTGGAGGTGGAGGTGGCGGTGCCGGTGGCGTGGGAGGAGGAGCAGGGGGCCGGCTTTCAACAAACTCCTCTGCTCTTTCATTACTCTGTTTTTCAACTTTTTCCTTCCGCGGAACACTATGCAGGGATCTTCTCCGTTTCAACCTCGTCCGTGATGACGGCTGCGGTGGCGGCGGAGGTGGAGGCGGTGGCGACGGCGAGGCAGGCGGAAGAGGAGAACTGCGAATTTCAACCGTATCCACAGGGATCACTTTAATACCAGTCTCCCCTCTCTCCACTTCACTCTGGCGTTGACGGTGGCGATCGTACTCCGCCGCTGCCGATCGATACAAATTCACTTCAAAATCATCAAAAAACCGGTACCGGTTCTCGCTGGTTTCCAACACCGGCACTTGCCTCAGATCCGGATACGAACTACTGCTCCTCCGTAGCCGGCTTGTGCCAGTTTCCGGCACCCCGGTCTGACCGGAATCATACACTTTCCGACCAGAATATTCAACCGCAGAAACTCTCGGAACATCCCGCTCAACGCCTGCTCTGTCGGCGGCAGAAACGTCGTCGTTTCTCCGTGCAAAAACACCACAAAGAATCGCAAAAACTACGAGCAATATGTTTAGTGAATCCCAGCTCTTCTTAACGGAACTGGGCCTAAGAAAATGATGAGTATGCGAAAGAAACGGAGGGACTAGAAAGAATATAACGAGGATAGCAAGGATGGGAACGAGTAGGATAAGCACCACCGGATTGATGATAGGAGACGGTGGTTGACGGCGGCGTTGGCGGAAGAGCGAGGTGGGGGGTTGGGTCCAGTAAGGCGGGGAGTCTCCATCATGTTCCATGGAGATATCTTTAATGGGGCTTTTAGGTTTAGCGGTGGCAAAGTGAGAGATGCCTTAAAAGCTTGTTGGGAGCGAGCGTGGTCCTAATGATTATGGTTGATGAGTAAGATAATGGTCGTGTTTAAATATGTAAACCTAAAAATTACTACTGCATTTACTTCATTTTTTTTTTATCCAACCACAAATTTATTCAATAAGTGAATTGGTAATTATTATATATTGAAATTGAAATGTCAAGTGAGACGACCAAATTCAACAGCGCCTCAACTAAGATTCATGACCTCTCACATGAAAAAAATTACTATATATATACTATTTGAACACAAAGGTGTTTGACAAGTTATATCACATAATCTAAATAATGTGAAAATTAAAAACTTCTTTAGTTTTTTTTCTTTTTCCAACTTTCATGGTCTCATTCG